GTTAGACTTTAAGAACGGAGCTTGCGGCCGCTTATCCAAATACAGAAACCGACGTAATTATCACGTATCTGGTCATGGCAAGGCGACCGTTCTGCACTTCTACTTATTATTTATCGTTACGTGTACCAACCTGTTACCTCAGAACTTGTTCAAATTAATAAAGTTATATCTGTAGGAATTTAATTATATTTTTGTGGTTATGTTAATAAATTCAATAAATTATTGATATTATTACGTTCATATTTGATTTGTTTTATTATTTTGTATTTGATAAATACAAAATTAGCTAATACCGGCTCCTTATTTGCTTTGCAAAGTTGTTTGTTAATATCCATACATTCTTTCACTAATAATATACTACCAAGACATTCTCATAATTTTCAAATACTCATCAGGAGACGGTTAAGAGCTGGTTAAGAAGGCATCAAAACATAATTTATGAGACTGCGAACCCAGTATACTGTCTATGGCAATAAAATATGGGAATCAGAACGTATATAGTGTAGTGATGGCAAAAGTGGAATTGGTTCCAGGTAATCGGAACACGCAAATATTAGAAGTCCGAAAACAGACAGCTTTCAACCGAATCAAAAATTTTGCTACAACTCGTCATTAAGCTTAGTAAAAAAGACGCAAATAAATGATAGGATTTCATGTGAAGGATCCTTGTGGAAATATCGCCAATTATTAATTAAAGTATCCTCTTTTTAGTGTTGCTTCGTTAGTTAAATCAGTATCAAAAAACTTTATCTTATCAGCTTTCTTAATAATTTCATTTTTATTCAAATATCGCAATAATGTGGCAATATAGGGTAGCACTTCAGAAATCACCACAAATTATAACTATAATGGTCAGATAACCTGATATCCGGCCGAAGGAGATGCCAAATATCCGGTATCCGGCTTTTCGCAAAATCACTATCCGTTCCATCATTAATTAAAATCTTTTGGTTGATTTTTGCACGATACCAATACATTACGAGATTGTGGTCAAGGTACACAGACAATTGTCCACAATATTTTTTGAGTAAGATAGATGAGTTAGCATATTTGTTAACTCATTAGATAATATCACCATTTCTTTAGTGCCATTTTCAATTATCCCTTAAGATATAAAGAGAATTGATTAAATTTCTTGTGATTAAACTTTATCTTTTCAACATTTTAAGTTTTACTTACACTTACCAAAAATAAGCAAAAAAGATAACCAGATTAGCATTTTTATCACCAATTTTCCACACTAAATAGCGATGAAAATTCGTAATCTCTTTGTCAATCAACTTTGTCTCAGTCAAACAATCTAATATTTTTTTATCTTACAGATCACTCATTGGCATTCGCCGAGATTCCATGCATATTTTCCAACGGCTAATTCTTATCCTTCGATAGTAGCAGATATTTTAAGTGGCGCTTTAGCTGTAATTGGATTTACTTGGGTTAGTTAATTTATATAAAATTTTTTTTAAAGTAATAAACAAAATCTATTTTTTTAATATAGATTTCAAGCCCAGCATGTACTGAATTAGAAGTTGTTATGCTCGATTGGTTGGGAAAAATGTTAGACCTTCCACCCGAATTTTTATCTTGTTCAGGTGGAAAAGGTGGTGGTGTTATCCAAGGCACAGCGAGCGAAGCAACTTTAGTAGCTTTGTTAGGGGCGAAAGCACGTACTCTCGCCCAAGTTAAAAAAGAACATCCCGAATGGACCGATTACGAAATCATTTCGAAACTTGTTGGATACACTTCAGGTAAGAAAATAAATTTCTTCTTAGATATTTTATTTTTAATTCTATTTTCGTTTTAGCTCAGAGCCATTCTTCTGTTGAAAGAGCTGGTTTATTAGGTGGCGTTAAGCTTCGTCATTTAGAACCCGATTCAGAAAGCAAATTAAGAGGCGACACCCTTGAACGGGCAATGAAAGAGGACCGTGAAGCTGGCCTCATTCCATTTTACGTAAGTCTTTTATAGTTAACAAAGTGAATATTGCGAGAGAACCTTCACTGATTTGCGAAACTTTTAAAACACGATGCAATAATTCTAAAAGAGAAACTCTAGTTTAATTTCAATTATTAACATTAACAATTATTATTACCCTTATATTTCTTAATCACATATTTATGCTCTACTTAATTCAAATCATTTCAATTTTCTAAAAAGTTTCTATTTTTTATAACATAGGTTGTGGCAACCTTAGGAACAACTTCATCTTGCGCGTTTGATCGTGTTGATGAAATAGGCCCCGTTTGCATTGAAAACAACGTTTGGCTTCATATTGACGCTGCTTACGCTGGTTCATCATTTATATGCCCGGAATTCCGTTATTTAATGAAAGGAATCGAAAAAGCTGATTCCTTCAATTTCAACCCACACAAATGGATGTTGGTTAATTTCGATTGTTCGACAATGTGGTTAAAAGATCCTTCATGGCTCGTAGACGCCTTCAACGTTGATCCTTTATACTTAAAACACGACCAACAAAATTCCGCCCCCGATTACCGTCATTGGCAGATTCCTTTGGGACGTCGTTTTAGGGCATTAAAACTTTGGTTTGTTATGAGATTATACGGGATTGAAAATTTACAAAAATTCATTCGAAAACATGTCGCGTTGGCTCATCATTTCGAAAGTTTAGTTCGTGATGATGAGAGATTCGAAATTACGGCCGAAGTCGTACTCGGATTAGTTTGCTTTAGATTGAAAGGTTCAAACGAATTAAACGAAAAATTATTGAAACGGATCAATGCTAACGGCGTTATCCATTTGGTTCCATCTAAAATTAATGGAGTTTACTTTTTGAGATTGGCTATTTGTTCTCGATTTAGCGAAGAGGAAGACATTAATTTATCTTGGAACGAAATTAAAATGAATGCTGATGAAGCATTGAAGGAAGAATGTAAAGAATAAGTAATCAATGATGTTGAGATTTCTGTTTTGTATTTATTGCTAGAAAGATTTTATTTATTAAATTTATTGTTAAATTTCTTAATTGATGGTAAATATGTAAGTAAACAAAAACGACCAATGTAATGTAGTGAGCAAGTATGTGTATTTATTTGCTAAATAAATAAATGTTGTATATAAAGTATATGTTAGTTTTAATTAAATAATGATCCCAATTTTAAATAATTAATTTTTCTAATTTATTACTCCCTCTGTCCCAAATTATGGTATACATTTCTCTAAAATGTATGGATTAAGGAAAGTTTGGAGAATTAACGAGTTTCTATTTAATACAATATAAAGTAATCTTAATTTAATTAATGAAAGAAACTAGAGTTCTGTTTGTCGAAGGTTAAATTAAATCAATGCTGCAAAAGCAAACGGTTCAAAACTAAAGTTATGTTTATGGCTGCAGTGGCCAGACCACGCTATAACACTGCTAAAAAACAGTATTTCAACGGCAAAATAGAACTCTGGCCTTTTGTTTATAAAGAACCTGCAAAAAGAAATAGCAAGAACCGGGTAAGAGGAACAATGGTGACCAAAAGCATCGAGTCTGTTAACGCAGCAGAATGCAAAAAGATGATTATCGATAACGTTGTACCAGCCATTAGATCCAAATTGATAGGTTCCAAATTGATGATAATGGATCAAGATAACATAATTCATAAGCAATAACACCATATTTATCTCAATATCTTATGCACAAGCCGGGAAATCTCACAATATCAAAATTGACAATCATCTACATTAAATTCTGTTCTGACTAAAAAATAACTAAAGGTGATAGAGAAAAACGTTTCCTACAAAAATTGATGATAAAGGATCAAGATAACATAATCCATAGTCAATGCCACCATAGATATCACCACTTTTTAGACTCAAGCCAGGAGTTCTCAAAATATCAAAATTGATAATCGTCTGCGTGAAATTCTGTTATAAATAGAAAATTAAAGGTGATAGAGAAAAATGTTTCCCATAAAAATTAATGATAATGAATCAAGATTACATAATTCATAACCAATGCTATCATAGATATCACCATTTCTTAGGTTCAGACAGGAATTCTCAAAATATCAAAATTGACAATCATACGCGTTAAATTCTGTTATAAATAGAAAATTAAAGGTGATAGATAAAAACGTTTCCCATAAAAATTAATGATAATGAATCAAGATAACATAATTCATAACCAATGCTATCATAGATATCACTATTTCTTAGGTTCAAGCCAGGAATTCTCAAAATATCAAAATTGACAATCATCTGCGTTAAATTCTGTTATAAGTAGAAAATTAAAGGTGATAGAGAAAAACGTTTCCCATAAAAATTAATGATAATGAATCAAGATAACATAATTCATAACCAATACTATCATAGATGTCACCATTTCTTAGGTTCAAGCCAGGAATTCTCAAAATATCAAAATTGACAATCATCTGCGTAAAATTCTGTTATAAGTAGAAAATTAAAGGTGATAGAAAAAAACGTTTCGCATAAAAATCAATGATAAGGATTCAAGATAACATAATCCATAGTCAATGCCGCCACAGATATCACCATTTCTTAGGTTCAAGCCAGGAATTCTCAAAATATCAAAATTGGTAATCATCTGCGTTAAATTCTGTTATAAGTAGAAAATTAAAGGTGATAGAGAAAAACGTTTCCCATAAAAATTAATGATAATGAATCAAGATAACATAATTCATAACCAATGCTATCATAGATATCACCATTTCTTAGGTACAACCCAGGAATTCTTAAAATATCAAAATTGACAATCATCCGCCTTAAATTCTGTTATAAGTAGAAAATTAAAGGTGATAGCGAAAAACGTTTCGTATAAAAATTAATGATAATGAATCAAGATAAAAAAATTCATAACCAATGTTGCCATAGATATCACCACTTCTTAGGTTCAAGCCAGGAATTCTCAAAATATCAAAATTGACAATCATCTGCGTTAAATTCTGTTATAAGTAGAAAATTAAAGGTGATAGAGAAAAACGTTTCCCATAAAAATTAATGATAATGAATCAAGATAACATAATCCATAGTCAATGCCACCATAGATATCATCATTTCTTAGGTTCAAGCCAGGAATTCTTAAAATATCAAAATTGACAATCATCTGCGTTAAATTCTGTTATAAGTAGAAAACTAAAGATGATAGAGAAAAACGTTTCCCATAAAAATTAATGATAATGAATCAAGATAACATAATTCATAACCAATGCTATCATAGACATCACTATTTCTTAGGTTCAAGCCAGGAATTCTCAAAATATCAAAATTGATAATCATTGAGTTAAATTCTGTTATAAGTAGAAAATTAAAGGTGATAGATAAAAACGTTTCCCATAAAAATTAATGATAATGAATCAAGATAACAAAATTCATAGCCAATGTTGCCATAGATATCACCACTTCTTAGGTTCAAGCCAGGAATTTTCAAAATATCAAAATCGCCAGCAAACATCGCCAAAAACTATGAATGAATTAATAGATTGTGTTAAAAGTGCCTTCGACGCATTAACTAAAGAAAAGTTAGATAACGTATTCTCGACACTACAAAAGTGCATGGAGTCAACCATGATGGCCTCAGCTGGCAACAACTATAAAATTGAATAAATTTGAATTTGAGCATGCAACAGAAAAACTTTTCGAAGGATAGTTGTAGCAAATTGTATTCTTAACAACATTGCTCTCTTGCGCTTTTGCACTCAGACGCATAGATATTGAGAAAAATATGAAAATTCATGAATAAGGAAAAGCTTCGCCATTAAAGGGCTTTTACATTGAACCAGCTGAATTGTGTTTAAACGTGTAAAATGTTCATTACTGTATGTTTAAATGAAGTTACAAATTGAATTACTAATTTTACAAATACAACAAAGCAGTTTCTAAAGTTTTGTATACCTACCATAATTTGGAACAGTCCCGATTTTAAATTTAAATTAAAGTCGATAAAGAAGAGATTTTACTAAAGTCGATAATAAACTAACCTATAATTATCTGTCAATCTGACAGATGACAGATAGTATGTTTACTAACCTTTCTTAAATTGTGTTTACCCTCGCTTTTTAAAACTTTACCTTCCGCTTAAATTTTAATTAATTAATTAATAAATAATTACTTATTTATCTTTTTTTAAAACAAACTAAGTAAAAGTGATGACATGACCATGAACCTACGAAAAACTTAACCTCTAAATGAGTCAACAACGTATTTCTTTTCTCTACGCAATGATTCATAGTTATTTTTACTTGATTAATGATAAAGCGTAGTCCTATAAGATTAAATTTAGTTATCTGATAAGATGTGTAGTCCAAGCCAATATTTTGAGGATGCCATAGCGTATGCTAGAAGAGCTGTAGAATTTGATCAAAATGGGCAAGTAGAGCCTGCGATTTATTTTTATAGAGTATCCGCGAAATTATTAGAAAACGCTGCTGACGAGTGCGAAGAGAGAAAAGAAACTTATTTATTAAAATCAGAAGAGTACAAAAACAGGGCTTTAACACTCGAAGAAATGAAAAAGAATCAAGCTGAGGATTGCAGCGATGAAGTTAAACAACTTCAAAAAAGGTACAAATTCTTAGTGCAACAAGCTTTAGATGCGGATTCGGCAGGTTTAAAGGATACGGCAGTGAATTTATATACAAACGCAGTGGAATGTGTGACGAAACATCCGGAGTTAATGAAAGATTTTAAGGATTTAACTTTGAAATGTTTGGAAAGAGCCGAGGAATTAAAAGGTATTAAAAGGGAAAGTCCCACAACATCAAAACAACAAGATGAAAGTCCAAATGATTCCAAAATTTATACACAAAGCAATCAAAAGTCTTTATACAGAAGTACATCAATTAATTTAAAAGTTAGTGGTGGATCTGAAAGTTACACTGACGAAGAAAAACGAGTTTTATTTCATACATCAAAAATAAACAACAACGAATTCGTACCTTTCATGTACATAGATTTATCAGAAAAATTTCAATTTGCTATTCCATTCACAGATAAAGACGGATTTCTTGCACTTTCACCAAAACAAAGACGAGATTTGCATAAATGGGTTCGACCCGATGAAATATCTAAAGAACCCACGATATTATTTGGTGATTTTCCCAGTTATTTCAGCATCAAACAAACTATAGTATCAGATTGTTCATTCGTTGCCAGTTTGGCTGTTAGTGCTTCTTATGAAAGAAGATTTGGAAAGAAATTGGTCACTGCTATTATTTATCCACGATCTAAAGATAAAAAACCACTCTACAATCCTTTTGGTAAATATATGATTAAAATGCACATAAATGGGATTACAAGAAAAGTTATTATTGATGATTATTTACCAATTAGTAAATATGGACAATTGTTGTGTTCTTATTCAAGTAATAAAAATGAATTTTGGGTTTCTTTATTAGAAAAAGCTTATATGAAAGTTATGGGTGGTTATGATTTTCCAGGAAGTAATAGTGTAAGTTATTATTATTTATTACTTTATTATGTATTTTTAGATATCATAAAAATTCATAAAAACCTCTTCTTCTTCTCCTGATCCTTCATAATCCTCCTGATACCTTTATATCTGCTACAGTCTTCCCTCTCTTCTTCCCAACTTCTGCTATTCTTTCTTCCCACTTCATCCTAGGTCTTCCCCTATCCTTATTCTTTGCTTCAAATACCTTTTTTACTATTGTGTTATGTTCCATTCTAATTATGTGGGCGTACCAGTTTAGTTGCTTTCTCTCTATTTTGCTGATTATCTCCTCTTGATGTACTCCCAGTCTTATTTCCTCATTCCTTATTCTATCCCACTTCATCTTCCCCACTATTTTCCATAAAAATTTCATTTCCATTGCTGTGAGCTTTCCTTCTTGTTTATCTTGGAGTACAAAAATTTTACGCCATCGTAAAGAGAAAAGTAATCTTTATCAAGTGAGCCTAACTAAAGAATACATTGCCATTTAAAAAAATGTAAGTATTATTCGTTACTCATTTGTTTTCTGAATTAAAAACAATTGAATGCAGTCTTATTATGGCAAATAAAATATTAAACAACGTTTGTATAAAATGTTTTTTTATAAAGTTGATACTTACCAAGATATATGCTATATTCCATACATAATGGGCACCCTGTATATTAAATACAGTGTGTTAATTAATTATCATACCCAACGTCATTATTGCAAGTATGCAACCAATGTCACAGTATTGGTATTGCTATACGCAAATGGCGTATTATACAGGCTGGTCCATTTAACGTGGGACAAGCGATTATCTCGAAAACAGTTCATTTTACATAAAAATAAACCATATGAAAGTTGTTCTGTGCGAAGGGGGAAACCATATGACAATAACATTTTTTGACCTTGACTTTATTTTCAAGGTTATATGAAGGTCACGACCAATTTTTTAAATGGCACCCATATGTATATACAGGGTTAGCTTTTTTCCGTGTTTAGTATGGAGATCTCGAAAACTAGCGGAGATAAAGAGACGATTAAATAGGGAAAGAATTGCAGTTTCATGAACTCAATTTAATGAGCTCTTGCATGGCTAACTAGATATCTCGAAAAAACCGTTTTTTTGTTATATCGTTCGATACCTATGGCTCCGTTATTATTGATATTAGGAAAAATGTGTAAAAAAAAGTTTGTAGAGTATTACATGTTTAATAAAGCAGTCTAACTGATTTTTTTATTTAAGCAATAATTTTTGAGTTATGACACAAACTTGTAATTTTTCTAATGAAAACCATAGTTGGCCAAGACTTTATAAAGAAGCCCTTTTCTCAACGATTCTAATGATATACCACTTGACATGGATATTTTTATTAATAAATAAATTATAGCCATTCATTCTTTTAATTTGCAAAATTGTTCAGGTAGTATGCTATGGAAACAATTGATAGATACGTTTGCAAACGTATGTGTCCATGATTTTGTTCGCTAGCTTATTAAGTGATGGTGCCCCATCGTGTTGAAGCCATTTAAGCAAATGACGTGTCTGCAGAAGCAATTTATTCAACATATTATCGAACTCGTTCTGTAGAAAGTGAAGATAATGATCTCCGTTTAACGTATCATAAAAAATGTACGGACCAAGAATTCTTGAACAAATGACACCGCACCAAACATTAAATCCAAACTAAACTCTCTTGAACATGGTGCGGATTTTCCTGCATCCATAAATGTTGATTATGTCTATTAAACATGCCGCATTTTGTAAATTGTGTTTCATCTGTCCACAAAACTTTAATGTAAGCTATGATCAGCTTCACACATGTTAATAAACCACGGTAGTGTTTGTGAAACTGCCATTTTATATGCATGAAATCTATGCTTTTTTAGTTCTCTTACGACAGTACGTTGTGACGTGCCTGCTTTAGATGCAACTTGTGTTGAAACCGATGCATCTTGCTGGATTCGTGCTAATACATTTACTTCTGTCTTGTATCTTGAGTTGGTTTACAAAAAGGACCATACTCGCCCAAATTACCAGCCTCTTCAAAGTAGGTAGAGAAGGCTGGCGACGATCAAAATACTTTTCTGCAGCTTGTATTGCATTTTTATAGCATAAAATGTAACACTCAATGATATCACGCTTTTATTGATTAGAAAATTCATATTGATTATAATTTACAAAACCTCAATCAACGTTAATTAGAAACTAAACGAAACATACATAGATACGTTTTATCTATCAATTGTTTCCATAGCATACTGCCTAAACAGTTTTCCAATTAAAAGAATAAATGGCTATAATTTATTTATTAATAAAAATATCTATGTCAAGTGGTATATCATTAGAATCGTTGAGAAAAGGCCTTTTTTTATAAAGTCATTGCCATATATATAAAGTTACGGTTTCCATTAGAAAAATTACAAGTTTTTGTCATAACTCAAAAATTATTGCTTAATCGAGATATCGAACAGAGACATCGAAACCGAGATCGGTTTTTTCGAGATATCTAGTTAGCGATGCATTTTATCCAAAAAACAAAAAGCTCATTAAACTTAGTTAATGAAACTGCAATTCTTAATACTAAACATGCAAAAACAAACTCACCCTGTTACTCACCCATATTTCATTGTAAAATCTGAATCTGTGGATGAAAGTAAAGATTAGGTTTTTTATCCATTTCACCCTTTTTAATTATAATATGAAAGATCAAGGACAAATTATACTTTGGTGATGACTTTTTTTAATATATTGTTTTTATACTTTGATTTATGTACAAATTTGTGTTTAAATATAACTTAAAAGTTTACTACTTGACGTAAGTCCATATATCCAATTTTATTAAATAACACTTAAAACTTTATTTTTAATCATACAAACTTGTAACTTAATTATAATATGTTTTGTTTGTTAATTTTGTAGGTTCTAATTCTACTGAGGAAGGGCTTGTGCCCGAAACTAGTTAAAATAGAGAAATAAACATTTAAAAAAGTCATCACCGGAGTATAATTTGTCTTTGATCTTTCATATTATGATAAATGTAAAGTAATTAAAAAAATTCAAAAGATGTTTCGCCGTCGTACTGGCAAAACCACACTGTAATTTTTTTTTTATTTAATTATTTTAATTTTATCCATAGATTCAGATTTTGCAATCAAAAACATAGGGTGCCATTTAAAAAATTGGTCGTAACCTTCATATGGCCTTGAAAATAAGGTCAAGGTCAAAAAATTTTATCGTTATACGGTTGTCATTTGTTCATTTTGTATAAAAATGAACCATTATCGAGATAATCGCTTGCCTCACGTTAAATGATGGACCATTCTGTCGATTTCTATATTATTAATAGTTGCCATGACTGGTCTGTGGTTGGTTCCTATTTGTGCTTTTGCTTCAGTCTTTACCTCCTCGACTTTGTTTTGGAAGTTTCGGGTGTATGTTATGTAATTAATAATACTCTTAGCATCCCTTTCTTCCACCACAAACGTATATTTATCTTGGCTCCTCTGACTCTACATAGTGTTTCCAATCAATAAGTCGTTTATTTGACAATATTCCAGCATTCTTTGCCCATTTCTATTCATAACTGCCTCTCCCCCTTCTCTATATCATTACATATTTTCGCATTCCAGTCTCCCATTATAATTACTTCCTCTCCTTATTCTCTGGATTTATCGGAGCTTTTCTGCAGACTTGAGTAAAAATCTCGTAATTCTTCTTCTTCTGTTGGTGCGTAGATTTGAATTATATTTACCTTTCCGTTAATTTCCAATTCCAGAATTCTTGAATTTACTGGTGCATACTTATTTACCTTGCTCCATGTATTTTCGTGGACTCCTGAAAAGTATAGACAATAATTGTTTGATAATTGTATGCTTCCCCTTCCCTTCTTTTTGGCTTCACTAATTCCCATTATTTCTATCCCAAATCTTTCCGTCTCGTCCATTATTTTCCTTTCCCGTTAAAATTGTAATATTCCACGTCCCCATCTTTATAACTTTCTTATTTTCTCCTTGCTTTTTCCTGCGTCTATCCATATTCCTGCCATTTTCATCCTCAGTAAAGTCTCCTTTTCTTAGTAGGTACACTTAGTTTTTTGAATTTATGGGCCGTTTTTTTTTCTTTTTCCATATCGTCTGGTGATCTTTCCGAAATTGTACGTTTATTATTCCTGCCAGCTTCTTCATCCACTATCTTCCCCTGGTCGTTTGGTTACAATTTGTTGTATTGTAAATAAGCTGTAACTCCTTTCCTCCTGAGTTCCCTTAGTTCAGTCATCAAATCATATCTCTCTCTCTCTCTGAATTTTCTTAGAGTAGTCCTCATCTATCCATATATTCGTTCCTTTTAACTCTTTAGCGTTTTTTAGGATATCCATCCTTCTGCCTTCCTTTGTTAGTTATACTTCTGATGACAATATCATCGCTTGTTAAATTTACTCCGATATTCCTCATTAAGTTAATCACTTCATTCTCTCTCTTTTCGAAACTTTCAAATCTTTCTTCTTACCACATTTTTACGTCTTACCTCTCTTTCCAGCATATCTATACGTTTCTTCTGTTCCACAATGTTCTCTTTAAGTTCCTCATTTTCCCTTTTGTATCCAGTCATCTCCCTTTTAATGTCGGTCAGCTCTTCCTTTATGTCTCTTAACATATTTTCAATTTTTTTCATATCTGACATCCTTCGTCTATCTGTTTATCATCACATTCTCTTTTTAGAATTAAATCTTCAGATATGTATTTTTAGATATCATAAAAATATCATATAATATTATATCAGTGTTTTTTCAATAGAATATAGATCTTCATGCTTTAACTGGTTGGATACCAGAACGTGTTGGAATTCGTAACAAAGATCCTGATTTCAACAAAACCAGTCTTTTCAACACCCTCGAAACGAGACTTTCAAAAGGAGATGTTTTAGTTTCTGTAGCTACCGGAGAATTATCAGATGCAGAAGCTGAAAGAACGGGTTTAGTGGCAACTCATGCTTATGCTGTATTGGATGCAAGGACTATTGATGATGTCAGATTGTTACAATTAAAAAATCCTTGGTCCCATTTGAGATGGAAAGGAAACTATTCCGAATTAGATATAAGACACTGGACGCCACAATTACAAAAAACCTTAAATTACGATCCAAATAGTGCTGCTGCTTTTGATAATGGGGTATTTTGGATTGATTTTGATAGCATTTGTGCGTTTTTTGATGTTTTTTATATGAATTGGAACCCAGAATTATTTAAATATACTTATTGTATACACGAGTGAGTAAATTCGTTTTCCTTTCATAAATTAAACTAAAATGTAAACTGTTTTAGATCTTGGAATGCAGGTAGAGGTCCAATAAAAGATCTTTACACAATTGGACAAAACCCGCAATACACTTTAGAAGTAAATCCGGATACTCAAGGTGCCGTTTGGGTTTTATTAACACGTCATATAACGGATATAGAAGATTTCCGCGAAAATCGTGAATACATAACACTTTTAGTGTACAAAGGAAACGGAAAAAGGGTTTATTATCCCCATGATCCGCCCCCTTACATCGACGGTGTTCGAATAAATAGCCCTCATTATTTATGTAAAATAATTCTTGGTCCTGGGAGTGGAACAAAATACACACTTGTCGTATCGCAATATGAAAAGAGTACCACAATTTACTATACTTTAAGAGCTTATGCGACGTGTCCGTTTACGTTAAATAAAATTGGCGATCCATATCGATTTGAAAAAACCGTTTCTGGGGAATGGAATGGATTAAGTGCGGGAGGTTGTGGAAATCATGCAACTTATAAAAATAACCCGAAATTTCGAGTCGATTTAGATTCTTCTACGAATAATAATAGTTTATTTATTGAATTGAAAGGTCCAAAACAATTCCCAGTGGGATTCGATGTCACAATTGTTAATGTTAGTGATGAAGATGTAACTGCACCTTTTAAAACTGTTTCTTCAGGAGTTTATAGACAAGGTTACGTGGTTTTATCACTTGAAAATATCCCTAGAGGATCTTTAAGTATTACTCCGTCCACTTTCTTACCAAATCAGGAAGCACCATTTATTTTATCTGTGAAATGTTCTGGATCTATTAATATTACAAGAGAAAGATAAAAGATAGTTTTATTTTTAGTCAGATTATTGTAATTGTAATGATTAAGAGTAATTTATATTTGTATTTAATAATTGAAAATAAAATTTATTGTTATTGCATTTTAATAAAGGATTAATAAAAAAAGTTGTATAGATTTTAAAAATTTATACATTTTTTGAAATTTTCCACTTCAATTTTATTTTTTAACAAATTCAATAAACTTCATGAAATGATTGTGAACTATATTATGAATAGTATTCTATACAAATGAGAGGCATATTACAAACCACCTTTGAAAGGAATCTTGCGCAGTTAGACATTTCAATAAAAACGCATTATTATCATGCCATTACATTTAACCGTAGTAATTTGTTGTTGCTTTGCTGTTGAGTATAAACGGGAGCTCTTATCATTGATTTTCTAAATTACCCAACCTAATCCATAGGCTAACAATCGGTAGCTTGAGTTAATCGTTAATTTCCGATATCTACGATTACTTGTGGGTTATCTAACAAGAAATTGTATATTGACTTATTTGTGCTGAGTCTCCGTTTAACCCCTTAATACATAAGCCTGAGTCTGACGGGTTCACTCAAAAATGGCGAAATTGTGTAAGCCTGAGTTATCACAGGAGTGAGCTGTGATATATGTATAAGCGTCATATTCCATCCGGACTGCAGAAACAGAAACTAAAGGAAGGAAAATTATTGCTTTTGAAAGAAGGAAGTTTATGGTTATAAAATGGCGTGACGAAAAAGACGTGTTTCTATTACAGACTATAATAAATTAAAAAGGCCAGACCCTTGAAGACTGGCCGAACGCCATATCCACAAATTTATTCCACTAACTAAAAAAACTTGCGCTCACAAGATGTTGAGCAGTGTGCTGTAAAAAGGATAACCAGTATTATTGTAGAATATGTGATAAAGCTTTCTGCGCTGTTCCTGGTTTTACTAGTAGCAGGGTAATTGACAAACACTGGATTGGAGGAATAGCATTTTTTATCACAGTATTTTATTAACTAATTTAAAGTATAATCATTTCCAGAAGTGCGCCAAATTGGTTGATTTATTAAATCACAGATTGTTTAATAAATTTTCATGATGTATTTATATCCATTTATAAGCCAATCTTTTATCTACATTTCATCTCTTTTAGACAAACAGCTAGTGGAATGTTCACGTAAATAACTTCATCATTTAATATGTTGAATACATAAGGAATTATCATCCTACCACTTTATTCTGCATAATTAAGGCTATACTTTGTTAGGCACGTATTTAGTTAGAAATAAGAATCACGTTCTAGAGTCATGTGAATACTCACTTATAGAATCGATGTCTGTAAGTCAAACCTTAGATACAAGGGTTTCGTTATATGACCATAAAAATATGGTCTCAAAATGGTGTCGAAAAACATTGTTGCACGCTGCTACAAAAAAATATCTTCTAGGAGACCTGGCAAATTATTGTCATAGAAATTACAGTAACTTTTACCCTTCAGTACAAAAGATGAGTTGACTATCAGTTTTGTAAAAATTCCAATTTAAACATTCGTATACCAAAGTCTTTGGTGATTATGTCGTTATAAAAAATGCGCATGATTAAAATGCGCTTCCTCGGTAAACATTATGGACATTGGTTAAAAACATTATGGAAGAAATTAGGATTGTAGTATATTTCGTTTAATGCCCATATGCCCAATTTTACTCAATAGATTATATCAGGGATAAAGTATTAGAACACGTTATAGATGATATAGATACAAATTATATCTTTATGGCATCTAGGAACGCCTATTTCATGAAAACAAAGGTTGAGTATAATCCTACCCCCAGGAGTATACTCAACATCTCGCAATAACTGTTCTTCCTGATAACTTATAACTGTTCGATAGTTATACTATAAGTGTTGTTAGGTTGCGTGCTATTTCGGTGCAAGATTGACTTAGGAAAAGAATATGATAATGTATCAATTTTCTTCTCTATTGTATTTAATCCCTGAATTACAAAGTTGACGTCAATCGTTATCAATTTTCTGATAATTTGCGAAACTAACTAGATTTGGAAACAGTCATAATAATGGCACAATAGATTCTTCGCTTATGTTTATTATTATTGCTGCCGGGCGAAGATCTATTGTAATTTAAGCCCTCCAAAAGTTTAGGGCAAATGTAGGTATAAAATGTAGGAACCTTGAAATTTTAGTATTGCTCCAAGGTCTTGTCCCTTTATGTCGGTAGGTGTCAGGCGTACTTTACTGAAAATGTTGTGTCTTAGATGGTCTCAACCAGGTCGGGATCCAATAAAGGGAATTTTCGCTGCGTCTTTGACCAGCTTGTCCGCCTTTTCATTGTTTGTCCCTCAATGTCTCTGTGACCTGGAACCCACCATAGAGTAACATCATTGCTCCTAGAGAGTTCTCTCAGGTTGCTGGTACACTCTCTGATCAATGCGGAGTCACACATGTAGGCCAGAATTGCCTTTAGAGCGGCCCAACTGTCTGTAAAAATGTTTATGGATGCACCTTTCTGTCCCTTTTTTACGTTAAAAACGGTGCAGAAGTTTATAGCAAGCTTCTGGTTGAAAAATGGTTATGTCCGCGTTCAGGGGCAATTTAATGTGGCTATTTGGTCCACTAACTCCGGATCCAACTCAATCAAATAGTCAATGGGGGAACTGTCTTTGAAGCATCGATATACTGGCTCCTCTTTTAAGTTGAGGCTCACCCCTCATCCAATCATTCCTGCTTCTAAATATGACTTTATACGGCTGATCGAAATTATATACTGTTTAGACATGAGTCCTTGAGAATTTCGAGATGTCCTCTGCGGTTACTCTGTATCAACTTGAGTGAAGAGCATGTTTTCAGTGATAAGGCAGTTAAAGTAGCCTCCTTTTGTATGTATACATGAAGTAATGTGAGACCGAGTAAGGCTTCAAGAGCAGTCGTCGGACAAGATCTCATTGCACCCGTTATATTAAGACATGTTAACCGCTGAAATTGTACCAGCTGTTGTTGTGCTGTCTTATGATTTGTTTTTGGCCGCTAAACCAGTGAGGCATAGGCGACCATAGGTCTGATTATTGTTACGTAGGCCCAGTGTAACATTCGTGGTTTAAGACCCCAGTTCCTTCCATGGAGCCTGTTGCAGATCTGATTAAGCATAATGGCTTTTTTTTCTCACCTTAACTATTTGGGCGTTCCAGTTTAATTTACTGTCTAGTATTACCCCTAGGTATTGATTGACTTCTGTTTTGAGGTTAATAGTTCTGCCTTTAATGGAGACTGTTTTAAAATCAATTTCTTGTAATGAGGTAGTTTATAACACTGACTTATTTATACAAAATGTTCTGTATAATATGGTTATCTTATAATATAATTTTAGTATTTGGAGGTATGAGAATGGATCGAAATATTTTTTCTAATATTTTTTTATATTTATAGAATGGAAATCGAGGCATCTACAAAATGTCATTTTAAGACAAATTCCAAAGACAACCAGCGCGACAAAAATTTTGGAATTGTTGCAAAAAACGAGTAGGTTTTGAGCTAATTGAAAAATAATGACATCCCAAGAAAATTGTTCAATTTCGTTGAATAACTTTGTACAGGCATAAGATGCACATAAATTGAAACTGAGGCATATACATTTAAAAAATGTAAATTTGGCACATCGTTTTTGAATTTAGCCACTTCAGAGTTTCTTCTCCAATCATTACGTTTGCGTCATAAGCTAAATCTGTCATATTCTGTTTATAAGGTATATTCGCGCATTCGGAAAAATATACTGGATTAATGACAGAAATTTATCATGCATCATACAACAAATGTAAATTATTAAATTACTGAGCACGCAAACAGGAGGTTGTGTACTGCTATAAAAGTCGTAATATACAAATCTATGTTTCTTGCTGCTCCATCAGTTTTCGTAGAAGTCGAAAATATTGTATTTACTGTTGTCTGCTTATTAATAGCTTACACGGATTTTATTTCAAAGTAGGTGCGATTTATGTTAAAGCGTTAGATTACAACCATATAACGAGAGCGCGGTAGACGAAGAGTGGTGCTCGAGATCGATCAACTACAAAGTACGTTTGGGAACGTTTGGCAGCATGGGAATTATCTTCACAAGGACCTAAGACTTTGATCATATTAACGTATTTTCTGTTAGTATACCTTGTCAGTTTGAATTTAAAACTTTTTGAAGGATTCAACAGTTAATAAATGCTGCAGCTTAAATACATAATAGTACTTTATAATCAAGTAAATGCATAGCAACTATAATACAGGGCTTCAAAAGAGTTATAAAAAGTACATTCTTATATCGTTTAGAACTTCCATGCAATGTGGAGTTTTTTTACCCTTACATTTTTAAATAGCAATCCCTATCGAACTTTACCTTATTTTAAAGGTAATGAAAAAAGAAACACAACCCCATAAACCAAAACCTGATATCTTAATTCTTTCAAGAATTATGAGCGGTTGACTACCAAATGGGAAAATAAAATGTTTTCATGTTTTTTTGCACGTTTATTATGATTTTTATAACAAATGTTCAAATTGTCGACCTTCTCCGGACCAATCTAACGCTTTGGAAACGTGCAGCTTAAAAAGTCTCGGACTGCGCGACCAAAATGTGGAGGAGCACGATCTTGTTGGAACCACATATTGTCAATACCATTAGGGCATACGGCACGTACACTTGGAACCACTTGATTTTCTAACAGTTGCAGATATCTGTCTCCGTCCAAATTTCCATTAATAAAATATGGACCAGCTACATTCTCTCCCATAATACCATATACATTAATTTTCTGCGGTTTCTGAGTATGATTTTCTCTTATTAAACTTGGATTTTCGTCACTCCAATAACGACAATTGTGCCTATTAACCTTACCATTCAAGTAGACAGTAGCTTCATTGTAAAAAACAACATTCAAAAGAAAATTTCTGTCAACATCACATTTTTCACGTACTATTTCACAGAATTCCAAAAAGGCTTCAAAAGAGTTATAAAAAGTACATTCTTATATAGTTTAGAAGTTCCATGCAATGTGGAGGTTTTATAGGGGATGACCACCCCTACATTTTTAAATAGCAACCTCTGTCGAGGTTTACCTTATTTTAAAGTTAATGAAAAAAGAAACACAACCTCATAAACCAAAATCTGATACCTTAACTCTTTCAAGAATTGTGAGGTTTTCTTTCGACTGTTGATTTAGAAATTGATGGTCCTTGATGAAAAAATCATTGAAGACTGACCGAAAAAGAAAGAATCACTCTTTTAATGGTTCGTGGCTTTGGGGATAGAACAAGATCTTACGATGAAGTACAGCACGTCTTCAATGATTTTTATCATCAACAACCACCGGTTTCTAAATCAACAGTCGAAAGAACTGTTCGAATATTTCAAGAAGTTTTTTAAATAGCAACCCCTTCTTGACTTTTGCCTTATTTTAAAGTTAATGAAAAAAGAAACACAACCCCATAAACCAAAACGCGATATCTTAATTCTTTCAAGAATTATGAGGTGTGATGGACATATTTTAATATTCAAAGTTACATAAATTATTGTTATTATATAAGTTGCCAATTAAACAGTTTTATTACATTATCGAGTTCAAGTGAAGTCCAATGCACCTCGCCATCGGAAGTGTTAAGTTACACTTTGGATATCGACGCGTGGTTACAATAACGCTGAGCAATAGAATTGTTGGCGCAAATGAAATACATAAGTAGTCAATAATTCTAAGCGAAAAGCATTCGTAGTCACATAGTTTTAACGAACACAATAGACATGTAATAAAGTAAAATAAATTAGTAATTTTAAACTAAAAAGAGTTTAAATCTTATCCGAAATAAATACATACACCCTAACTACCTGGAGACCCATATGGGGTCAATACAGAGGTTTTATTTCGACTGTTAAATTAGAATTTGAAGGTCCTTGATGAAAAAAATCATTGAAGATTGATCGAAAAAGAAAGAATCACTCTTTTAATGATTCGTGGCTTTGGGGATAGAACAAGATCTTACGATGAAGTATAGCACGTCTTCAATGATTTTTATCATCAACAACCACCGATTTCTAAATCAACAGTCGAAAGAACTGTTCGAAGATTTCAAGAAGAAGGAACTGTGAAAGATCTTTCGAGAACTGGTAGACCGAAATCTGAAACAACTCCAGAAAAAACCAAAAAAGTGTTACTGTCTTTTATTGAAGAACCTTCAAGTTTCTTATTAAAAGTGTCTCAGGTACATGAAATTGGTAAAAGTCTGTCTACAGAATTTTGAAAAGAAATAACTATTTCCCCTATAAGTTTCACCTACTTCAGAAATTGAACGAAGGTGACTTCAAAAGAAGGTTGGAATTCTGTGAAATACTACGTAAAAAATGTAATGTTGACAAAAATTTTCTTTTGAATGTTGTTTTCTACAATGAAGCTACTGTCTACTTGAATGGTAAGGTTAATAGGCACAATTGTCGTTATTGGAGTGACGAAAATCCAAGTTTAATAAGAGTAAATCATACTCAGAAACCGCAGAAAATTAATGTATATGGTATTATGGGAGAGAATGTAGCTGGTCCATATTTTATTAATGGAAATTTGGACGGAGACAGATATCTGCAACTGTTAGAAAATCAAGTGGTTCCAAGTGTACGTGCCGTATGCCCTAATGGTATTGACAATATGTGGTTCCAACAAGATCGTGCTCCTCCACATTTTGGTCGCGCAGTCCGAGACTTTTTAAGCTGCACGTTTCCAAACAACAATTTGGACAATTTGAACATTTGTTATAAAAATCATAATAAACGTGCAAAAAAACATGAAAACATTTTATTTTCCCATTTGGTAGTCAACCGCTCATAATTCTTGAAAGAATTAAGATATCAGGTTTTGGTTTATGGGGTTGTGTTTCTTTTTTCATTACCTTTAAAATAAGGTAAAGTTCGATAGGGATTGCTATTTAAAAATGTAAGGGTAAAAAAACTCCACATTGCATGGAAGTTCTAAACTATCTAAGAATGTAGTTTTTATAACTCTTTAGTGACCCCCAAATTTTCAATTTTTTTTCATATACACAAATCTACGTTTCTTGCTGATCCATCAGTTTTCGTAGAAGTCAAAGTAATAAGAATTCAAAGTAGATGCGATTCATATTAAAGTAGTACATTACAACCATACAATAGGAGCGGGGTAGACGAAAAGTGGTGCTCGAGATCGATTAACTAGAAAGTACGTTTGGGAACGTTTGGAAGCATGGGAATTATCGTTACAAGGACCTAAGACTTTGATCATATCAACGTATTTTCTGTTCGTATATCTTGCCATTTTAAATTTAAAAGCTTTTTGAAGAATTTGAGAGTTAATAAATGCTGCAGCTGAAATACATAATAAATTCAAAATCGAGTAAATCAACTATAATTATTTATTTTGCCAAATTGATTACATTTCTGAAACACAACTTCCTTACAATTTTATCTGAAAACGACTTTTGAGATTTAGATAGTAAAATCCGTTTTTATCTTATTTTTAATTTTGGAATATTTCATTGAATATGCAATTGTCATATTGTTAAGATGTATAACAGCGCGTCTTAATATACTTTAACGAAAAGGTGACTTAGCATACTGGAGGAGTAGGAATTTAAGTGTGACGGTTAAATGCAAACTCACTCTGTCTATTCATATATTTATCCTCAATTTTAATAGATGTAAATTACATAGTAACCCAAATGTTATTTTATGTTATTTGGACCAACATATTTTTTAAAATGTCCAAGGTTTTTTGAAGAATTTCATATAATTTTTAATAACTTTAAATAGCGTTGGTTACGGAAGCACATTATTTCTTTTAATAAGCATTAAAAACCAGTTCAATTTTTAGGCCAATTCGAGTCCAACTCGCTATCTCCTTTTGACACACCTTCCGTCTCGCATTTCTTTCAATCTTTTGGGTCTTCGCGAAAGTTTGTAGTTGAAGAATACGAAGACACCAAGACGCATGACTTTTTACCTGTACATTAATAATGTTTTTTAAAGTTATTGTTAATTTTATTTATTAATTTTTTTTGTGAGTTTAAGTTTTTTTTGTGCAAGTTAAAGTGAAGTTACTTTTTTTTGGATATTTTTGGAAATACAAAAGGACTGCTTTATTATTTCATAATCAGTAAGTTATTATAAATAATTTTCGTTATCATTTAGTTTAATTAAATAATATAAATAATTCCAATAATTTAGAGCTATAAATGTTCTAATATTTTATTTGGAAATAATTAGAATTAAAAAAATGTTGGCAATAACGGTTTAAATTAAATCATTTCAAAATAATACAAAAAGTGCATTACGGGTTCATCGTTTTTTATAAATGAAGTCTTTTAGGAAGTGCAGGTGAATGTCTGGGTCACGTATTTCATCTCTGAGTGGATCATCAGCTGCGCCTTCGAAAGGAGGACAAAGTTCAGGCGGTCAGTGATGTCTTCAGGCATCACCCGACAATAATTCAAGTTCACGAAAGCGATCTTAAATCGTTGACCTCATTTTTTCTTTCTATTTCGCCTAAAAATTTTTATTATCAACACACAAAGGATTATTACACTTTAATTCTCGTTTTTTATAACAAAAAAGATTTTCAATTTTCTTTGTAAGTCGCCTTTTAGGAAGTAATAGTGAAACAAGATTAAATCTTCTGTTCTCTGTTTATTTTGTTTTATGCAATACTTTTATTTTTCATCTTTCCAGTATTAAAGGTTTCAATTAAACCAAGAATGAGAAAATGAGAGACATAGAACGGGACATTTGGGGAGTTGAAACCGGAACTTTCTTCAATTACGCGGAAAGTGAAAGGTTTCCTAGCGTTCACAGTGTATCTATACAACGATTAGATGCATTATTATACACTCAAGCAGGTGAGTTACAAATTATACCTTGTGTAATATTAGAATGGAGATTTCTCACAATATTTACACAACAAAACAAGTATTTTCTTAAAATATTTTAATTATTGTTATCTATTCGTAACAACAATTTCTAAAAGATATTTTAAATATAATTACAAATACCGTATCATTATTGACCCCTTTGTAATTGCATACTATAGCACAATTACGACCTAATTGTCACTATGGATTAATTAACAGCATTGTCACATTACGTTTACGTCGCGTTGTCCACTCAACCATAAAACAACCCCTATTTTCGGGTAAAAATAGATATCGAATAGATTTATCCTAAGTAGATGATTGAAATAGTTAAATACGGGCGAGGATAAGTTAAATTCAAAATTCATTAGAGTTGCGATTTAGTTAAAGTAAAGTTAGTTACGTTCAAGAGAGTTTGTTACTTAATTTGAGTGAAAACTACCCGCTCAAGTATTTTGGAATCAAGTGTTTAATTCGAACGTAAATTTAAAACTTAATGAGTCCACCCCCGTGAATTTAATAGCTACAGAGCTGAGTGTTATTTATAGGTTGAACTTAATTACAAGAAGTGTAATGGAGTGGACAACCTGTGCACTTTTATCAAGAGTTTTAAAATGCCAAACGATTCACCAGGATTCTCTCGGGAAATAATGTTATTACCTGGATTACGTTAGTAATAAAAAATTATATATTTTGTGGTGAATTTAAAAAATTTATATATTAGTTTTTTTTCAGAAGATTATTTTAATTATAAGATATATATAAATACTTTTTAAAAATAAATTTATTATCTTTATTAGTTAGATTACGCATTGAATCAGAAAATCTTACGCACATTGAAAGATTTGCAAGTTACATTAATTCATTTGTTATATTTGTGCGAATAAAAAAAATTACACATACCATTAGCCAATATGCACATGTATTGCACATTTTAAATGTAAATTTATTTTACACTTTGCACAAATATAAATGCTGAGACTTACACAATTTACAACGTTGTAGATTTATTATCATCATTCTTGATTACGTGACCCACTTTGTTAAGCCGAACTACTTCGGGAATGGAGGCTTCAAGTGGTGAAGTCCGAGATGGTCCCGGTTGATTGATACTACTATCATCTTCTGCCTTCATCAGACGTACCGCAATATACGACTTGATGTCTAGTTACGACATTTCTATTCATTTGCCATGTTGAATAATTTCCAACAATTGACGCACATTAGCATTGCCTAGCAAATTCTGAAACAACGGTCATCACCATATTTTTTGCCTCGCACATTTATTCGATAATTCGAAATTGCGTTATCGTGTACGTCTAGAATTCCGGTATATTTGTTATATGATGAGATAAAGTTTGGCTAAAATCATCATGTCTTACTACTGAATTATCCATTCCATCTAATCAAAGATATTTTTGACTGTTCGTCAAATATAGAATCGTAACAACCTCGTTTCTATTCGATTATCCGTTTCGATCCTACAATTTTTCTATTCTTCAATAATTTAATTGTCTTCTAAGCCATCTCCTCACTAATTTCCATATATTGACTCTAAACGTAATAGTTAATTGGTGATTGTGTCAGGTATTGCCTATTTTGTCGCCAATATTCTAATTTAATTGGATTTAAATTTCCCTTGTTAGAGCTTTCAGTCATAATGTTCATGATTCTGATGACTCTGCTCCTCCTATGTATGATTCGATTTTCTGACACTTCATTTTCTATGCTTAATTATTGTTTTGAATCACCATTCTTGTAAACCTTGCTTGTGCCAACCGGTATGCTTCTTCCGTTTTTGTTGTTCCATTTTGTAACTCCAAGTCTATAGTGCTTGGAATAATTATAAAACTCCCAAAGAAGGATGATCTATCGAGATACAGTAATTCGACGGGCATCACACTTCTCAATATGATTAATAAAGTCATAGCTCAGATAATAAATTCAAGACTGAATCATGATTACCAGAAACCACCAACAACGAGGTATGATATGGATTACACCAACAACTATAAAACGTAGATTATGCAGAGCACATATGCCTGATAGTGCATACTTTCAATGATTGATAAGCGCACATAAAGAAACTGAGTGAACAGGCCAAATCGGTAAGACTCAATAGCAACAACCAAGGAAGGTTCACAATAGACAATACACAAATACAAGACGTTTGGCAATTCACTTATTTAGGCAACGTAGTAACCAACACAGGAAGCACCGAAGAAGACATAAGAAACCGCACAAATAAAGCCAGAGAAGACTTTTGCAATGCTGATAGAGGTTACATAGCCCATATCTTCCATATATTTGCATCAAATGAAATGAAACTGGATTGCGCACGCCCTTCGGAGGGAATCTGAATATATTGTGAGGACAACATTGGACTAGAACACACAAGGCACAAGAGGGAGGCGCAAGATAAAGTGGCGGAAGTCCATTATGAAAGAGATAAAGACAATATGAAGTAAACTGGCTGGAAATCAAATAGGTAGCCCAAAATCGAAGATGATGGCGTGTATTTGTCGAGACCCTATGTGTCGTGGGTTATGTGTTAATATAAGTAGATAATGTTGTTTGTAAAGCTGTATTAATGTTTTTTGTCCATTATTATTTAGGACATATTCTACATACCTTCCAGTGACCTTATTATACAATACGTTACATTTCCTATCGCTAAAAAGAGCATCAAGTTCCTCGTCCAATATGTAATTGTTATAATTTTACAATATTGTTTAATGTTATAAAAAATGTTTTATAGGAATTATTGTTTGGTGATTCACAGCTGCAGATGGTATCTGTTCTTATTCACATGAAAGTTCTCCGTATCTCCTCTGTATATTATTTACCTGTTATTGGAACATTATAGATTGCCTAGAAAATAATTTTATTTCTCCTTTGAGGGTAATATAAAATAGCTACTTTTAGGGCACGCCTGTGCATATCGTGCACATACAGTGTGCGGCAAAATTATGGAATAAATTCGATAAAACACTTATAAGCATAATGTAATATATAGACATATAATGTCTATATATAGACATTATTTTGCAAAAACGGCCAAACAAGTCTACATTAGTAAAAATGTATGTTTTTCAAAACATACATTTTTAACCAATATTCACTTCCATTTTTTTGATTACGGAATATAAGACTATTTATTTTGTTACTTGTATAAGTGTACAAGTTCTTCTACCTTATTCAACACCATCCGGAATTGATTCAAAATAGATCGTATATTGCGCAGCTTTTATAAATTATATTTCAAATATTCATGCATTAAGCTTATTGGAGCTCCAGTATCGATTAAAATCCCTAGTCGACTATAAAATTTGGGGATTAAGAGAATAGGTGGAAAGTAACTATCTTTGGTGTTAGCGGTATATTCCTACACATGGCATCGATTGGTATTGTATTCTTTCTGGCTGCATATTTTAAAGGTGCTATCAAAAAGAAGCCAAAGAGAAACCAGAAATGAAGCAATAAGAAGGCAGAAAGAAGTTAATTTTTTTACGTTTCTTTCTAACCTCCTTTTGGCTTCAACCAAAACACCAACATTTTAAGACGATAAAGAAACTAGCATAAAGACAAAAAGAGATTAGAAAAGTTGGCTGTATTTTCTCTTTATTTCTGGAATATAATCTAAAGAAACCAAATTGAAGCCAATTATTTTTATTTAGCGTACGACTATAGCACAGGTAATTTGTAAATACACAGAGAATTGTGTATATAAATAGTATAAAAATACATTACAAAACAAATATAGAAACAACAATAACAAGCCTACAAACAAACATCGAAATTACAAGTATGTTCAATTGATGCTTTCGTCGCAGCTAAGAAATGGGATGGGTTGCCACTGTAGGATCTAGTTGGGCGCTGCTTCACTAGGTGTTTAATAGTTTATCTTTCAGCGCTACAGACTCAATTTGGGGAGAGTATTTTTCCCCACCTGAAGAGTGAATCGGAGCACCTGCAGAGTTCGTTCTTATTCTGTTGAGTGTTGCCCAGATTCATCTTGGTTGGTCGAATCCTTCTTGTTTGCTTGTAATACATGACATAATCCAGATAGTAGGCGCGGCACTCTTCCCCAACCTTCTCTTCAGCGCTTAATCTGTCAAGTTATTTTCGATTAGAATTTTTACAGTTTTTAGAGAAGGTTTCTTGAGCAGAATCTACTTATGTCCCTATTAGCAATTTCAACGTAGGAGCACAGGATCGGTGTTAATCTTTGTATACTCCATGACAAGAGCATGTTTTTGACGGGCGGGTGGAAGAGTTACATAGCTCAGTGCAGGCTGCTAGTACGTGGGCATGGCCTTAATTGTATCTGATATAGTACGCATAGCTTGGTTGAATTGGAGATCAACACGACTAGTGTGCGGGCTATTCACCCACATCAGTTATAGCACCCTGCAACAGGATACGCCAGTCCAATGCTATCAATTTAGGTGTGGATGCTGAGGAGCCCCATGTGAGTCGTTCAGTTGTTGCAGGATGTTATTTCGACTTTTATTGAGAGTGAGACTTAGCTATTTTGGATGTTCAAGTTTGTAGTTGACCATCTTGTTGTTTAAGTGGAAGCACGATACTTCCGCTCTGCCAGCATTGAGCTGCAATCTCCAGTTGCGAAAATTTTCCCAGAATAGCCAGCACTTTTGTTAGAATTTGCTCAGTAGTGTCCAATTCTTTATGGTTTGTAGCAAGCGTAGTCGTCTGCGTATCCGATCTTTTTTGATATGGTTTCGGGAATACTTATGTAAATTTTGAAAAGCAGGAAAGCTAGCATCAATTCTTGTGGAAGGCCATTATTCAGCTTCATTTGAGTCTTGTCGATCATGTTGACGTGGAAGCATCTGTTGGCAATAGCATGGCATTGATAAAAGCATGTTTCCACATACTTAGTCAGTGCGGGTACTTAGTTGTTGGTCGGAATCCTCCTTGTTATACCAGTATGTGTTGTAGTATTATTAGTGCAGTCTTGTTATAAAGTGTATAGATTATGCTTAGAAGTGACTTTTGCCCTTCTAAGTTGATGGGGAACATTTCCCGTCTGAAGGATGCCCCAGAAGAACTTTGCAAGATGTATTCCATTGTCTAATAAATTTACCACTGTATTCCGAAATTCAGCATGAATAGCAACAACACCAGAGGCTTTTCTCGTTTTCATTTCATTCAGAGCTTCCGCGATTTCTTCATAGGTGAAGGTGTTAGAATGTTCTGTTTCAAATTCATAGGTAAATTTTGTAGTCTTTAGGTCTTTTTTAACTTTAATTGTGTGTAAGCGGTTTCAGGGTGCTCTAGAGGTTGAGACAATGTGAAACTCTTCTCTGGTGCGTTTGAAGCATAAATAGCAATCAACCTTGTCTTGTGTACCCTCAGATTAAAATTTGTAGTCACTATTCTTTCATTTACAGCTTCCCAATTGGATAAATTGTTTTTTAGTTTTTTACTGATTCTATTTTTTCTCTTATTGCTAGTCAGTGGTCGTTCTGAAGTTCCACCTAAGTTCCAAGGTTGAATACTGCGATTATTTGAGGGTTTATGTTTATGTTTTTTCGAACATGGGGCAGGCTTTGATGAGCCTAAGTGTAACCATAAAGCTGCAATGCTTGAAACAAATTGGATACGTAATCTAATCGAATTACGTATCCTTTTCTACAGAACCATGTACACGGTTTAAATTCGAATAATGATATTAATTAATTCGTTTAGTTAATTTAATACGTATCGGTAAAGTTTTAAAGTCTTTAGTTCTTTATTAACTTTAATTGTGTGTAAACAGTTTCAGGGTGCTTTGAGGTTGACACAATGTGGGATGTCACATGATTTAGAGTTATAAGTTGACATGATAGTCTACTCTTTGCTTATTTATGTCTTTCTCTTCCATTCTTTCTGGTTTCTTTCTACATTTATTTGGCATAAAATTTGAAGAAATCAAATTGAAGCCAATGAGAAATCAGTACTATACCAATAAAAAAGCAAAGAAAACTATGAATCATTGTGACCTTTTTATACTTTTTTCTTTGGTACTGAACCTTTATGAAAGTGTCAAAAACAAGGCATACGTAACCAGAAAATTATTAATCGATCCAAAGTTATTTGTTGGAACTTGCTAATTTAAATTGATAAGTTTTTTCGATAGATGCATTACATTTATATGTATGAAAATCCAAGTATCTTTTTGCTGTACATTGTAATTTTCTATTTCTATAGCACATTCTTCGGCAGCATTAAAAAAGGAAGGTATTATCAAAAAGTTGTCCAATTGATACCATGTCGTCTTCAATAATATCTGGATTATACAAGAGAAATGTGCAGAGAAAAGCTGGCATAACATCTCAGGTTTTAATTGCAAAAACGTAATCTTTTTTTAAATACCAAGCATGACGAATTTTCCTAAATTTGGTATTATCACAGATAAACGATCATCTAGATATTCCATAATAAATCACGTAAATTGGCCTTACTGGTTTCGACTAAAAAAACATCATCAGGAATCAAGTTATTTAATTAGATTACAATTTTTTTTCCATTCAAAATTTTCTTAATCTAAGGATCAAAAACTTTATTGGAAATTTTTTAATGGAGTGGACACCAACACAATTTCTTTAATAATAATAAGATTAATACTTATAAGGTGATGATTACTTAATTTTATTTAAATAAAAGTAAATATTTATTCATGATAAAGCAGAAACCGTTTCCCAAATCGATTTTATCCTCTACTTTACTCCCAATATAAACATCTTGTAAGGTGTGAAGATCCCCTTAAACCCCTTCAAAACGGTCCGGCGACCATCTCAACCCCATTGTCCACCCCTTTTACACCAACCAATAATGTATTGTCGATGAAGGTGTCTGTTTACAATAAGTCACAAAAGAATCTTTTCGTATATTCAACGTGTTCTACTTGAAAGGAGGGTTGGTGTCCTTTTTCCTTTTACTTTTGAGTTGGTAACATAGTCCAATTTTGTTAGATTTTCTCTGAAACACTTAAGTTTTTTTGGTGCTTTGAACAAAAACTTATTCATTTAGCTGTATAAAGTACGTATAGGAAACGCACTAAAGTGTCTCTAAGCGACCGTCTCTATGTACACTGGCTACGTATAAGGGAATTAAGGTTACACCCTCCCCAAGAAACCCAAGAAGAGGGAGTCAGACACCGTTTTTAGCTTACCCTCGACAAATCGTAATAGAATTTTTATAAAAAAAAACTTTTAACAACTAAAAAAAATTTCTAATGAAAAGTTTACCCAAGTTTTTCATCTCGTTTTCCAAGCAAAGAAATTTAAAAAAATCTAATCGGATTATCTCTTATTTAAAAAATTTTTTTGATTTTGAATTTGATTATAACCAGGTTTCATTGATTTAGATCACTTTTAAAGCCGGTGCCGGTTCAAATTAGTTCGGTTCGCGTGCTTCTCGGACGCGTTCGTGCAAGTCTCGTTGTTGTCGTGATTGCCGCTTACTCTTTTTTTTTCATACTCCTTTTTGGGTGGACTTTTTAATTTCGTTATCGGCTTCGACTATCGATTCGAGCTAATTTTTACGCTTCGTGATGGGATATGATCGACATAAAAAATATTTATGGGTCAAATTACTGCAAAGGTTAAAAGGTTTTGAATAAATTATTTTATAAAATGTGTATGAAATGTAATATTAAGTTTTAAGTAAGTTTATTTTTTGATTATTATTAATAACATTCAATTCATTGAAGTTTATTTTTTTTTTAATTTTAGGTAGAAAATTTCATGATTCCAACTTTATTAAGTATTCGGTGAGTAAATTTTGAATTGATTTTATTTAGATTTTAATCGAGATTTTTATATGTTCCTGTCAAAACCTATTTTAAGGTGTTGTGTAACCAATTCACGCAAACGCAATAAATTTCCTGTAATTTAACAGAACGTAGTTCAGCTCCCTGTAATTTTATAGGTCGATAAACGTTAAAGTTTCGGCTGTGTTAATTAGGTGTTCCGTACGAATTACCTTCTCTATACACTTAAAACTAAGTAAACTAACTAAAACTTAAGATCTATTAAGAACTTAACCTGAACTAGTACTTTAAAGGTAATAAATAATCTATGTTTTTCACAAGAAAATATGAACGCGTTATAATTTCAAATTTAACTTAATGAAAATGTGGGTTAAATATTTGTGCTGGGTGATTTTAAAATATCTAAAAATTTATGAAGGTAAAAAAGATCGTATTTAATGGATAGGTTGGTGCAACCAAATAACTATTATATTTCGCCGCAGTTGGTAAAGATCTGAACGATGGTTGCAGTGTACAGTTAAGGGTGGGTTTCGAGTTAGTTCTGCACGCCATCGAATTGATCGGACGCCCTCCTAAAGGGTAGAAACCCCACTCCGAGACGGCCTCCCGAAGAGGGAAACTTGGCCGTAAATATCAGCAATGGGTAATTACCGCTAAATTTAGATCGTCGGGGCCATGAGCAAGCTTTTTTTATGAAAGCACCGAGTCAAGTTTAACCAAAAATAAAACCTACAAGTTTATAAAAAAAAATCGATTTTTCTTCATTTATCAAATTATTTTGTTTTAATCTAGCACTGAAAAAGAAAATGCAAACGAAGTACAATTTTATTTCGGTTTTTTTTGCAAGGTTCAAAAAAAATCCTTTTATAATCTGTCGTATTTTAGTTGCAAATCTCGTTGAACAGTTTTGCATAATTGGACAGGCTACGATATGAAACGTTGGGCAATTCAACTCTGGTCTGCTAATTGAATTATTATTACGCCTTTTTTGTTTTGTGACGGTTACGTGACTCCGAACGAATCATTCCGCGGAAATAATTATTAATCGCTTTCACACGCGTTAGTGACGTCGCAGTTTCTTTCATTCTTTACCTCTTTTCGTTTGTTATTTGACGGGAGGGATCGCGATAAACCTTGAAAAAGACCGATGACCCCATCTAAAAATAAAACAGTTATTTTCACCCTTAATCTCATCTTTGACTGTAATTAATCAACCAAAAAACAGAAACGTATTTCAATCAGATTAATCGTATACAGTAAAATCTCGATATAACTTACTAATATGGTTATATGAAAAATTATTAACCGTGGAGTTTTAGTTTTATGAAAAATATACAATAACCTAAAGCTGAATAACAACTCAAACTAGAACTAACACTAGCACTATACCTTTTCAAGCACAAATTGGCACTAATCAGAATCAAAATGACACTAGTCAAAATCATATTGGCAATGTCAATTTCAAATTGGCATTAGTCAAAATCAAATTGACAATAATCAAAATTAAAATGGCATTAGTCAATATCAAATTGGCAATAAACAATATCATATAGGCATTAATCAACAAATTTAGCACTAATCAAAAGCAAATCGGCATTAAACAAAATCAAAATGACATTAGTCCATATCATATTGGCATTTATGAATTTTAAATTGACATGGAAATAAAATTATATATCAGCATTAAATAAAATAAAATGGGCAAAAACATTTCATTGACTTACAAACACAGTAGATAACAATTATATTACTTAAGAAAGTAGGTAACGTTATGTTTTAAATAACACTCTTAAAAATTTATATCTTGCATATTCAATGCAGAAGGGATAAATCGTTGGATGTGGGCAATAAACATTGCGCAATTGGCAACAGTAATCTTGTCCATATTATTATGAACGGTGTTCTCTAATTTCTGCATTCGATATTCTGTTTGAGTCAGATGATCCCGGTCAGCACCAGCCAAGATGTTATTTAGCTGTACAGCCATATCTGCTTTTACTCCTGCTTTTAATGCAGACCACGCTTGTTCAATAGGATTAAACATAGGGCTGTACGGACTTAGTCGTAAAAGTGTGTGGTGTTCAAATTCGTTTTCTGCAAAAACCTCTTCAATAGTAGAGTGGCATGGAGCATTATCAATAAGTAATGCAACTCCAGTTTGGTAAAGGCCTTGCGCTCTTCTTAGGCATTGCCTCACAAATTCATTTGCTTCCGGCTTCTTGAAAGAGCCCCGACGTAGTTCGGAATGAATTAGCCCCATGTTTCCAATGCATCCTATTAGGTGAATATTCGACCCTCTGCAACCTGCAGACACTGTTGTGCAGCGAGTCCCTTTTTTTGAACGAC